ACCCACCACTGGTGGCAGCAGGTCCACGGGTGCCACAGCCTACACACCCACCACTGGTGGCAGCAGGTCCCACGGGTGCCACAGCCTACACACCCACCACTGGTGGCAACAGGTCCACGGGTGTCACAGCCTACACACCCACCACTGGTGGCAGCAGGTCCGCGGGTGTCACAGCCAACACAACCACCACGTAATTGGTCTCCACAAAACCTTCCCGCCAATCACGTGAACATTGTTTTCACTTGTCCTTTACGGCTTCTGGAATAAGACGAGGAACAAAATCACCGCCACGAGAAAAACACGAAGTTAGACCATTTAATTGAAGATGATTATGTGGGTGTTTGTGCTGTGAGGCACAGCACGGCCAGCAGGTGGTGGAGGCACAGCACGGCCAGCAGGTGGTGGAGGCACAGCACGGCCAGCAGGTGGTGGAGGCACAGCACGGCCAGCAGGTGGTGGAGGCACAGCACGGCCAGCAGGTGGTGGAGGTACAGCACGGCCAGCAGGTGGTGGAGGCACAGCACGGCCAGCAGGTGGTGGAGGCACAGCACGGCCAGCAGGTGGTGGAGGCACAGCACGGCCAGCAGGTGGTGGAGGCACAGCACGGCCAGCAGGTGGTGGAGGCACAGCACGGCCAGCAGGTGGTGGAGGTACAGCACGGCCAGCAGGTGGTGGAGGTACAGCACGGCCAGCAGGTGGTGGAGGTACAGCACGGCCAGCAGGTGGTGGAGGTACAGCACGGCCAGCAGGTGGTGGAGGTACAGCACGACCAGCAGGTGGTGGAGGTACAGCACGGCCAGCAGGTGGTGGAGGTACAGCACGGCCAGCAGGTGGTGGAGGTACAGCACGGCCAGCAGGTGGTGGAGGTACAGCACGGCCAGCAGGTGGTGGAGGTACAGCACGACCAGCAGGTGGTGGAGGTACAGCACGGCCAGCAGGTGGTGGAGGTACAGCACGGCCAGCAGGTGGTGGAGGTACAGCACGGCCAGCAGGTGGTGGAGGTACAGCACGGCCAGCAGGTGGTGGAGGTACAGCACGACCAGCAGGTGGTGGAGGTACAGCACGGCCAGCAGGTGGTGGAGGTACAGCACGGCCAGCAGGTGGTGGAGGTACAGCACGGCCAGCAGGTGGTGGAGGCACAGCACGGCCAGCAGGTGGTGGAGGTACAGCACGACCAGCAGGTGGTGGAGGTACAGCACGACCAGCAGGTGGTGGAGGTACAGCACGGCCAGCAGGTGGTGGAGGCACAGCACGGCCAGCAGGTGGTGGAGGCACAGCACGGCCAGCAGGTGGTGGAGGCACAGCACGGCCAGCAGGTGGTGGAGGCACAGCACGGCCAGCAGGTGGTGGAGGTACAGCACGGCCAGCAGGTGGTGGAGGTACAGCACGGCCAGCAGGTGGTGGAGGCACAGCACGGCCAGCAGGTGGTGGAGGTACAGCACGGCCAGCAGGTGGTGGAGGTACAGCACGGCCAGCAGGTGGTGGAGGCACAGCACGGCCAGCAGGTGGTGGAGGTACAGCACGGCCAGCAGGTGGTGGAGGTACAGCACGACCAGCAGGTGGTGGAGGTACAGCACGGCCAGCAGGTGGTGGAGGTACAGCACGGCCAGCAGGTGGTGGAGGTACAGCACGGCCAGCAGGTGGTGGAGGTACAGCACGGCCAATCATTAACAATGTTTCTCTACAACACTTGATTAAGACGTAATGAAGTGTTCGTTATGACTGCAGACTTTCTTACACTTTCTTCCTATAGTATCTGTGTGTGTGTGTGTGTGTGTGTGTGTGTGTGTGTGTGTGTGTGTGTGTGTGTGTGTGTGTGTGTGTGTGTGTATTCACCTATTTGTGCTCATATCTACACTTAAAACTGTGTATGGAGTCAGCCTCCACCACGTCACTGCCTAATGCATTCCAATTACTTACTACTCTGACACTGAAAAAGTTCTTTCTAATGTCTCTGTGGCTCATTTAGGTACTCAGCTTCCACCTGTGTCCCCTTTGTGCGTGTGCCGCTCGTGTTAAAAAGTCTGTCTGCCACTAGAAAGAAGAAGGGAGAGGGAGGACATGATAGGAACGTATAACATACTCAAGGGAATTGACAGAGTGGACATAGACGAAATGTTCACACGGAATAGTAACAGAACGAGAGAACATGGGTGGAAGCTGGAAACTGAGATGAGTCACAGGGATGTTGGGAAGTTTTCTTTTAGCGTGAGAGTAATGGGAAAATGGAATGCACTTAAGGAACAGGTTGTGGAAGCAAATACCATTCATAATTTTAAAACTAGGCATGATAGGGAAATAGGACTGGAGTCATTCCTGTAAACAACCGATGCTCGAAAGGCGGGATCCGAGAGTCAATACTCGATCCTTTAGACACAAATAAGTGAGTACAAATAGGTGAGTACACAGACACAGACACACACACACACACACACACACACACACACACACACACACACACACACACACACACACACACCTGTTTACTCAAACGCCAATCAATGTCTCCAGGAAATACAACGATAAATCTCAAGTCCAACAATAAATTAACAGAGGTTAACGAGGGCATGGTCGAGTGTCGCTTAACGAGGTATTCTGCTGGACCTTCTGAGCTGAGCGACGTTGCGTGTGTATACATCGAACCCGGTACACTACACACGGAGGCTGAGCTACGGTACACGGTACACCACACACGGAGGCTGAGCTACGGTACACCACACACGGAGGCTGAACTCCGGTACACCACACACGGAGGCTGAGCTACGGTACACGGTACACCACACACGGAGGCTGAGCTACGGTACACCACACACGGAGGCTGAGCTACGGTACACCACACACGGAGGCTGAGCTACGGTACACGGTACACCACACACGGAGGCTGAGCTACGGTACACGGTACACCACACACGGAGGCTGAGCTACGGTACACGGTACACTACACACGGAGGCTGAGCTCCGGTACACCACACACGGAGGCTGAGCTACGGTACACGGTACACCACACACGGAGGCTGAGCTCCGGTACACCACACACGGAGGCTGAGCTCCGGTACACCACACACGGAGGCTGAGCTCCGGTACACCACACACGGAGGCTGAGCTCCGGTACACCACACACGGAGGCTGAGCTCCGGTACACCACACACGGAGGCTGAGCTCCGGTACACCACACACGGAGGCTGAGCTCCGGTACACCACACACGGAGGCTGAGCTACGGTACACCACACACGGAGGCTGAGCTCCGGTACACCACACACGGAGGCTGAGCTACGGTACACGGTACACCACACACGGAGGCTGAGCTCCGGTACACCACACACGGAGGCTGAGCTCCGGTACACCACACACGGAGGCTGAGCTACGGTACACCACACACGGAGGCTGAGCTACGGTACACTGTACACTACACACGGAGGCTGAGCTACGGTACACTACACACGGAGGCTGAGCTACGGTACACGGTACACCACACACGGAGGCTGAGCTACGGTACACGGTACACTACACACGGAGGCCAGATAATACACTTAAGAGGCACTGATGTATTTATGCAAATCTGTGAGTCATTAAGTTTCTGCATAATTAAATTTTCTGTAACTTGTTTTCCGCTAGATGAACAGAGGCATCAGGATGAAAAAAACTCTTCCCATTTGTTTCTGCCTGGTGCGGGAATCGAACCCGCGCCACAGAATTATATATATATATATATATATATATATATATATATATATATATATATATATTACACACACACACACATGTGGGTGTTTGTGTTATCATGTTCTGGTATACAAGATATCTGGCATATTAGTATCTGGTGTGTACGGATGTCTCTGATCAAGCCTCGGCCTCCTGAGGTCTTTGAACTCACTGGAACAAGAACAGACACGTTTTTTCATTTATAATTTGTATTATGAATGTTTGCATGGAGAATATATAGCAATAATTCTCAGCATTACGACGAGCGTGAGTGTGTGTATACAAGTGGTCTCCAGTAATACAATGCATCAAGCAGGAGCTCCGCCAGGTAGAACTGAGTCAGTATGCTGACATGCAGTTTTAACATGGATTAAGCTGGGGACGGGTCGGGACAGATTGATAAGCTGGGGACGTGTCGGGACAGAATGATAAGCTGGGGACGTGTCGGGACAGATTGATAAGCTGGGGACGTGTCGGGACAGAATGATAAGCTGGGGACGGGTCGGAACAGATTGATAAGCTGGGGACGGGTCGGGACAGATTGATATGCTGGGGACGGGTCGGGACAGATTGATAAGCTGGGGACGGGTCGGGACAGAATGATAAGCTGGGGACGTGTCGGGACAGAATGATAAACTGGGGACGGGTCGGAACAGAATGATAAGCTGGGGACGGGTCGGGACAGATTGATAAGCTGGGGACGGGTCAGGACAGAATGATAAGCTGGGGACGTGTCTGGATAGAATGATAAGCTGGGGACGGGTCGAGACAGAATGATAAACTGCGGACGTGTCGGAACAGAATGATTAGTTCCTTCGTAAAGCTCCATTAGACACAAGCTAACTTGAGATGTGACACTGGCACGCTTGTTAAAAGTACGTCAAGTCCCTAAACATTCACAAAAACGCTCGTTTAACAAAACTTGTGATTTCTACACCACTTTCGCCGGACAAATTTTGTCACAAGGGTCCCAACTTCGCGACCATACATGTTAACGTTAGCTCCTCCAACACAGCGGTTCTGGCTCAACAAACCTTACGAAACATTACAGAATTACGCAGGACTCGTAATTCTGTGGCGCGGGTTCGATTCCCGCACGAGGCAGAAACAAATGGGCAAAGTTTCTTTCACCCTGAATGCCCCTGTTACCTAGCAGTAAAATAGGTACCTGAGTGTTAGCTGTCAGGGGCTGCTTCCTGGGGGTGGAGACCTGGTCGAGGACCGGGCCTCGGGGACACTAAAAAACGCCTGTAATCATCTCAAGATAGGGAGGAGGAGGAGGTATAGAGCATCTTAC